TGAAAACAGCCAAGTTCATCAGGAAAGCCAGCTCCCCACAGCCTCTCTTGGCTCCCCACAGTCTCTCTCAGCTCCCAACAGCCTGTTTCTTCTTCTCCAGGTCTGCCTCTTATGCTGCTGGCAACAGTCCTCAGGTGGGCCTCCCACACGCAGCACCACTCACTCAGTTTAGCTGGGGGTTACAAGTTGACCACCAGTTATCAATCTACTACACTTAGTAACTTTATATTTGAAAATATATTCCTCTTACGTTTTATTCAGTCATGTATGAGTATAGCTAATTAGGCCTTCGTTTCTCTTCTTCCTCTATTAAGCTCCCTTTGCTGACCTTCCAAGTGCTTTAAAAAATGGAAAGATCCCAGAAGTTGGTAGTATTGGTCATTAATGACTCCCTCTCCTTTGAAGACATTTACATGATGAATTGGTTTCAGAACACAAGAAATCATTCAGTAGGAACAAAAAGGTATAGGTACATTAGGGGAAATTCAAGAAAGATTGAGATCCATATGAAAAAGGTAGGAGAAGTTTATCTGAAATTTGAATAACTTGAATATTGAAGGATCAGGGCCAGAGGGTCACTCTCTTATATGGCAAGGGTTTTTGGAAATCCGAGCAGGAAAGTTAAATACAAGGGAAACAGGCCCCTTGGACACAGTAGACCTGGATAAGACTTTCAGAGTTCAAATGTGAGCTAAGAAACTTCCCAGCCACATTGCAGTACCTCTGCAGAGGGTGAATGGGATGTGAAGAAGTAGTTGTGCTCCTAGTGTGAGCTGTTTTTTAACTTGGAGGTAGAAATTTGTTCAGGTTGTTTTGTTGCATTAAAGTACTTCTATTCAATTGAGGATTTATTTTGGTCTTACAATTTTACTCATTGAGAAAAATTTTACTAAGGACTGGTCAATAGTGAACAAAACAGACATGGTTCCTGCGTACTTGTGTCTTGCACTTTAGTAGAGATGAGCATTGAACTCAGGACCGTGCCCACGGTCACAAAGCTAACTAGTCAGTGTTCAAGCCCAGTATTCAAGCCAGGTGCTCCAAAGCCCAAGTTCCATCTAGACTACTATTGTGTATTTAAATTCTCTGGTGACTTTTGGCAATATCTGAAGAAACTCTGGTGTCATAGCTGGGAAGAGGAGAGGGGATTCCCAGTGGCATCTGGTGCATAGAGGGAAGGTGCTGCCTATTGTGTAGGCAGACTACTATTGTGTATTTAAATTCTCTGAGCTTTGGTCCCCTCGTCTGAGCATAGAATCAGTAATGCTCTTTTTCTTTAGATGTATATAAGGTTTCTAATAAACGTTGGATCTTTAGAAATATTTGCTCTTTAGAGAAGGAAAGAAGGACTGAAAAGTATGTCCTATTTCTGGTACCTCTACTTACTGGCTCCAGATGAGCTCTACTTTTTCAGTCTTCAGGATACTCCATCCTATATCAGTCTCCTGCTGCCTTCTACCACCATCTATCTCTTTGGTGCCTATCTGTCAGCTACTCAGAATTGGCCTTCTAGACAATGAAGGCTTGTAAGGACTGTCAAGGTGATTTTGTGGCAGTAGCATCATGAGTTAAAGCAACAACCAGCATTTCTAGTCTTAGATCAGAAAGCACAGTAGCTGGGTCCCTGTCCAGTACAGACAAATACAGCCAAAGTATGTATTTCAGTAGGAGTTCCCGTGTGCTCCTAGGGACATGGTGGGGAGAAGTGCTAGAATCTAATCCTAGTGAGAAGAGCTTTGGAATCAAACTGAGTCCCTTCCCTTCCCATCCCCATGCTACTGGATTGTTTCCTGAATGGATTGCTCTCTGATGAATAAAAATTAGCAAAACCTCTGTGCAGTTTATGTCATAAAACCAGACAGAAAGTTTATAGCTGAATTGGCCTTGACCTTCTTTTCAATTTTTGTTCTGGGTTTCGTTCTGTTTTTTATGGAGTAGCATCACTGTTTGGAAAAGTGGAAGAATTCTGAATACATTTAGTGAATACTATGGAAGAACAGGGTTTTGTGTCTACTTTTGAAAAACTTGTACCTGTGGTCTGTTATATTTGTTCACCAGAGGTGTTTTCAGATAATGGTATTGCCTACTTGTTCAGTTATCTCATATCCCTTCCTGCCAAAATGTTCTAATCAAGCTGTGTCTTCAGCCCATTTTATTTCCTGTTAGCTGGAAGGAAGATAGAGGTACACTTGGCAT